GCTCAGAGTGCTGAGTCAGAAGCAGCAGGGCGGTTTGTGGTAGGGGAGCAGGCAGGGGGCAGCGAAGCAAGACCTGGCGAAGCACAGGCATCACAGATGGACCTGGACTCTGCCCCGTGCTCCTGCTTGGCCCGCGGTCAGGGGGAGGCACTGGCTCCCAACGCATGCCTCAATCTCTGGGCGAGGGAGGCGGGGCACCCTGAGCTTCTGATCCAGCTTGCCAGATCCCCAAGGCGACCTGGCCCTGCCCACCATCCCACCCTCTCCCAGGTGTTAGACTTCTCAACATTCAATCTTTGCAACAGCACCTGTGTGCCATATCCAGATGCCAGGCTGTACCCGGCTGTGCCCTCGCTCGGCGGCATTCCTGATTGTGATTCCAGCAGACACCTGGTACAGCTAACCAGGCAGGTGGGCAACTAGCCTGAGGCCGCCTCCATGAAGCCTTCCCGGGTGTCCCCAGGGTCTGTGTGTGGCTCCTAGGTTATATCCAGGATCTTGCGTGTTTCTTGGGGGGACAGACATGCAGGATTTGGGGGGCAACCAGCAGGCATGTCCCCTTCCTGTCTGTGTCCAGGCTGGGCTCTGACTCAGATTCCAGCTCCAAGGCCATCTGCTTGGAGAGGCCCTGAACTAAGCCATCTCACTCCCGTCATGCTTCTGGAAAATTCTAGGAATAGATGGGAAAGTCCTAAATGTCCCATCTCGGACTCAGCCATCCCAAGAGCCTCAGACAAACTCGGACTTAATCTCCACTCCTGCCAGCCGTCCCCTACTTCCGGGGGAACTGTAATAACAACTTGGAGTGCTTCTGCCCCCCCCCCCCTCGTGTTGCACCACTGGGGAAACTGAGGCAGGGGCCCCAAAAGGCAGGAAGACATGGAGACTGGGCTCCTACCCATGCTCCCAGTTCATCCTAACTCAACCTTTTTGACGGTCACCAGATGCGCAATCGTGGCACAAACATTGATTAGGCGCCTACTGGACACCAAGGGGACGGGACAGACATCTGCCATTGTGGAATGGCTGTTCCAGACAGGATGAGAAGTGGGACAGGCACATACATAAGTCCCCAGTCTGGAAAACATCGGAAGCCAAACGCTTGTGAGAGCCCCAATTTGACACCACACGTGGAAAACTCCATAATATGAAACGGGGCTTTATGCACAAAATGACGGAAAACCACGATACGGGGTGAGGGTTCAATACAACAATACAGATGCCCTTGGGGTCACCCTACAGGGTGCCAGGCTCTTCCACTTCCAAACCAGCTCTCTGTGCGTGTGCACCCTGGCAGGCAGCAGGTGCGGGCTCAAGTGGTTGGGCCCCTGTCACCCATGTGGGAGACCCGCATGGAGCTGCTGCTGGCTTCTGCCTGGCACAGCCCCGAAGTGCGATACATATTTGGGGGAGCGAACCAGTGGATAAAAGACCTCTCTCCCTTTCTGCCTTTCATTTTTTCTTAAAGATTTATTTTATTGGAAAGTCAGATATACAGAGAGGAGGAGAGACAGAGAGGAAGATCTTCCATCCGATGATTCACTCCCCAAGTGAGCGCAACGGCTGATGCTATGTCGTTCTGAAGCCAGGATCCAGGAACTTCTGGGTCTCCCACGCAGGTGCAGGGTCCCAAGGCTTTGGGCCGTCCTTGACTGCTTTCACAGGCCACAGGCAGGGAGCTGGATGGGAAGTGGAGCTGCCAGGATTAGAACCGGCGCCCCTATGGCATCCCGGTGCGTTCAAGGCGAGGACTTTAGCCGCTAGGCCACCACGCCAGGCCCTCTTTATTTCTTTCACACTGTCAGGGGATGACCAGGGGTTGGAGTAGGGGGTTCTGAACTGGGAGAGGGAGGGTGATGATGGAGCAGATACGATATGGGGTAGCATGGGAGGGACAGGGCCCTGCGTGGCAGATTCACGGCACCCGGTTAAGAGCCACGTAACTGATACAGCAGTGCAGAAAATAGTGATAATCTTCTCTCTTGGCACCTGCCTTTGTCAGCACGTCTGGGGAGGATGCCCGGCTGGAGGGTGGTGGGCTGGGGCAGCACAGCCCTAGGGCCATGGTCCCCCCGCAGCATGGCCGGGGGGGGCGTGGCAGGGACAGCTCCCAGCCCTGCAAGACTTGGCTCAGTACACAGTTCAACCCCCTTAGCGGAGCTGCAGGGTTTGGGGGGTTTGCCTAGGTGAGGGGTGGCTGTAGGGAGAGTGGCTGGGGCCAGGTGATGCATCAGGGTTCCACAGGGGGCAGAGGGAGCGGCTGAGACAACCTTAACACACACACCTGCTTAGCTTTCGCTCATCCTTGCATCCCTACCACTCACTGGTCGGTGGGACTCGGAACAGTGTGACCTAGCGGCTAAAGTCCTTGCCTTGAACACGCCGGGATCCCATAGGGGCGCCGGTTCTAATCCCGGCAGCCCCACTTCCCATCCAGCTCCCTGCTTGTGGCCTGGGAAAGCAGTGGAGGACGGCCCAAAGCCTTGGGACCCTGCAACCTCCTCCCGTCTCCGCTTCCCACCCACCTGCTCTCTGCCTCCCTCACCTGCGTGCACACGGCTCCTGCTGTGGCGGCTGCTCCCTGGGTACACCACCTTCGCGTCCACCCAGATCCGAGCGGCTCGCACTGCTCCATGGGGCTCACCTGGGCCTGGGTAGGTCGGTGTCTATAAACCTGGTCCACTCCCCTACCCCCTGGCTCCTGCCCTTCTTACCCAGGCTGACTCAGCTGGGCCCTGTCTGTCCCTGTGATCCTGGCAAGCCTGTCAGTGGCGGGGAGGTAGGGGACGGCGCCTCATGGGCGGTTCTGCTCTCCGACTAATTGACATCCCTAGCGACCCAGCCGTCCATCACCTCTGCCAGGCTGGCTTCCCGGATGCCTCATCATGCTGAGTCAGGGGGATACCCCCGGCTCCCTGCTCCCAGGCCTCTGTGGGATGCATCCAGGAATGCGGAGGGAGCAAGAAGGAGAGCTGTTGACCCCACAAATGCCCACAGCAGCCAGACAGCAGTCAGCACGGATGGACCCCACTCGCACTGGCGCCCCCAATTGCTGCATCCCAGACTGCCCCCTTGGCAGGGAGCTGCCGTGAGGGGACAGAGCCGATATCAAACGCCAGTGCTGGGTGCTGGGAGAGGAGACGTGGCATCTCAACCCCTAGGCCGGTGGCCTCTCCTGGGGAGAGGCACTGAGTTCAAGTTCTGGCGCAGGCCCAGGGCTTTCCCTAAAGAGGTGCCAAGTGCTCACAGGCCCATTTTACAGGCTGAGACACTGAGGCACGAGGAGATGAAGTCATCGGCTCAAGGGCAAACCTCCAACCCTGGCGGGACAAGGGGTGTGGGTGCAGGCTGCAGGCAAGGGGGCAGCCCAGGGGGTGCTGGCAAGACGGTAAACCCCAGGGCAGCTCCACCAACCTACGCCCCTTCTCTCCCATCTGCTCCAGATATGGGCAGGCCACAAGGCTGGCCCCTCCACCGTGGTGGCAGAGCGCGCTCTCTCTCTCTCTCTCTCTCTCTCTCTCTCTGTGCCAGGCACGGAGCCAACCCAGCACTCAGTCTGCAACCAGCCCTGACGGGTGTGGGATGGCGGAGGGGGGGAGTGGGTACCTCTGAGAGCAGGAATCGGACCCCCCTAGGGGATGGGGTGGGGGACCCTGGAGCCTTCCTCCTATCATGACCCCAACCCACCCCTTCAGTAGTGTGTCTCCTCTCCCTGCGGTCCTTACCCAGCCCTCGTTACTACCAACCCATTGCGCAGGCGAGCAAACTGAGGGTCAGAATGCCTTCCCTGGAGGCACAAGGTCAGTTCATGGAGTGAAGCCTCACTCCTGCCCCGCTGCTCTGACCGGAGAGGTGAGCTGGCACAGCAGGGCCACAACAATGGGCTTGGCCTCCCCCACCCCAGCCTACCTGCCTGGCCTGCGAGGATGGCAGGAAGGGAGCGGGCCCCCACGCCCCCATCTTAATGCACAACAGTTACTCCACGCATGTTCTCCCACCCGCCCCCCCCCCGGGGAGGTAGAGGGCTCCTCGACTCGTGCCAACCTCTCCCCAGGCCTTCTCTTCGGGGACCCCTATGCTTGCCCAGGTTTCAGACTGGGGGGGGTCTCCAGGCGCGTTCCGCATCTTGAGGTGTTCCCCAGGCCCCCACATCCCGGGCCGGGCCACAACAGCGTCTTTGCCATGCACCTGCTGCTAAGCCCGGGTTACCCACGAGTCCTCGGGACTTCCAGCCGCCCCAGCTCGGAAATCTGCAGGGCACTTTTTCCTCTCCCCCCACCCCCTGCTCACCTCGCACGGCAGCGCCCGGGGGGGTGTCCGGCCGAGGTTTCCGCCCCAACCACTCCTCTATTCGCCCGCGCCAAGCACACCCTCCTGCGCCAGCCCCTGCACCCTGGGCGGCCGCTGGCTCCCGAGACCCAGTTTGATCTCAGTTCCCCTACCCCAACCCACCCCGACTGGCATCCCTGCGCGCTCCCTGCACCTGCAGGGCCCCCTCCGGCCCGGCCCTCCCTCCCTGCGCCCACTGCTTTTCCGCAAATGCACACACTAGGCCTTCCCCTCCTGGCCCAGGCGGACCCCATCCCCCGATCCCAGTGCCCGGGACAAGGCCGTGTCCCCGGCCCCGCCGGCAAGGCTCCGTTTCCCTTGGTTTCTGTGGCGTCTACGCGGCTCCGCGCGGCGTGCGGGCTCCAACACGCACTCGCCGTGGCCCGACCTAGTCTCCGGCCGCGCCGTGCGCGTCCACCCAGCCGGACCTCCTGCTGGGTCACGCAACCAGCTCACCACCCGTCCAAATCCCGCGCGCCCAGGACATCTCGGGGTGGTGGGGGAGCGTGACCCCCAGCCCCGGATGCGATGGGAAGCCCCCGAGGGAGGGCAGTCTCTGGGGTGATGGGGTCCCCCGGCCCCGAGCGGCTGCGGCCATCCAAGGGGCAGTCATGGCTGCGGAGGCGTGGGCCCCAGCCTGCCGCGCAGGGGGCGAGGGGGCGCTGGCTCACCTGGAGGGGGTGCAGGGGGCCCGGGGCGCACCGAGGACACGCGCGGCGGGGCGGGGACGGCGTGCGCCTGGCGGCTGAGTCCGGGAAGCAGCCGAGACGCGCGGCCAGGGTTAAGCAGCCGGACTCCGCTGCTCCTGGCGGGGCCTGGGCCGGGTGCCCGGGAAGGAGGAGAGGCCGGAGGGAGGGGGCGCGCAGGGCGGGACTGGAGGCGGGATCTGGGGGCGGGGCGCGGGGGGCTCCCCAGCTCCCGGACCCCCTGCGCTCCGCCCTCCGGGTCTCCGCCCCGCGTCGCTCGGGGACGCCGGGTCCGCGCCGCGTGTCCTCTAGCCCGCGCGTAACCGCGTCTTAATGCTGCGCGCCCTCCCGGGTCCCTCTCCCTGGTCTTGCGCGCGTTCATCTGGAACACCTCGCTTGCGACTCAGGGTGTGAGGGGGGAGGCGTGGGATCCCCCAGCCGCGCAGGACTTGGGGGTGGACGGGTGGAGGAGCAGACATCCGGACCAAGGCTGCGGTTTGGCTGGGGTCAGGGTGCAAGCAGGGGTCAGGCAGCGGAGGCGGCCCGAGGCCTGTCAGGTCGGGTCGACCGACCGGCTGATCGGCAGGGCCGGCGTGGGTGATGGCGCAGCTGTGGCTTTGGCCGAGGACGCGACACGCCACTGCTCGGCCTTTTGCTGAAACCGGCTCAGAGACAAGCACGGAGTCCTGGGTGGCAGGTGTGGGGGACGCCCGCCTCTCCGAGCTGTCAGACCCATTTCCCACGGCTGGCTGGTTGGTTGGCTGGCTGGCTGGCTGGCTGGCTGGCTGCTGACCTGGGGCAGGCTCCCAGGCTTCCAGCTCGGATCCCAGCCCCCTCCTCAGGGCGTCCCCGCCTCCTGCCCCGCCCTTGGCTCTTCTTCCTGCGCAGTTGGAGAATGTAGAGAGAATTGAGCGGGCTGTGTCCGGATGCTAGGATGCACCTGCTGACACGCAGAGGGGCCCGTGCTGTTTGCGCTCGTAGACGCTGTGGAAGACATTGAGGCAGCGTGTGGGGTGGTGGGACGGCGTCAGAGACCCCAGACCCTGGAAAAAGGCGGTGGGCACTCTGGGGTTGGCCACGTCTCCCTCCTGCCTCCATCCCTCAGCTGTGAAGTCCCAGAATGGGTGGGTGTTCAAGGCAGGCTTCCCGGAGGTGGTGACTTTCGGAGCCTTGGGAACAGCAGTAGTTACCTGCGAACGGAGGTAGCACAGCTCAGGCACTTGGGTCTGCTGGCACCCACCAGCCAAGTAGGAGACTGGATTGCATGCCACGTCCCTGGCTTTGACCCGGCTTGGTTCCAGCTGTTGCAGCAGCGAGCAGTGAACCCAGTGCAGCGAAGATGTCTCTGCCTTCTAAATAAAAAATGCAAATAAGGACGGTGTGGCTGCTCTGTTTTGAACCCAGCTCCCTACAAATGAAGCTGAGAGTCCAGCAGAAAGATGGCCCCAAGACTCGGGGGTTTGCAATTCTGGGTTCCTTGGTTCTGAACCAGCTCTGGTCATTTGGGGACTAAACTAGCAGATTAAAGATTCTCTCTCTTTTTCCCATTCTGCCTTTGAAATAAAGGAAACTCGGGGGCTGGCGCGATAGCCTAGAGGCTAAAGTCCTCGCCTTGCATGTGCCGGGATCCCATATGGGTACTGGTTCTAATCCCAGCGACCCCACTTCCCATCCAGCTCCCTGTCGGTGGCCTGGGAAAGTAGTCGAAGATGGCCCAAAGCCTTAAGACCCTGCACCTGCATTTGAAAAAACACACAGGAAAGGAACTCCTCCATCCACTGGCTCACTTCCCAGATGGTTGCAACAGTGGAGGCTGAGCCAGGCTCAAGCCCCGTGCCAGGAACTACATCCTGGACACCCAAGCAGGTGCAGGAAGCCAAGGCCCTAAGCCATCCCCAACTCTCAGGTTATGCATGAGCAGGGGGCTGACATGGCACCCAGGACACTCCCACATGGGGTGTGCCATGCGAACTGGTATCTTTCTCTTTTTTTTTTTTTGGAGACTTATTATTTTTTTAAATTATTATACTTATTTGAAAGACAAAGTTAGTGATAGAGTGAGGCAAAGCTTCCATCTGTTGCTTCGCTCCCCAAAAGCTGCAACTGGGTGGTCTGGGGCTAGGAGCGTCTTCCACATCTCCTGCATGGATACAGGGGTCCCAGACCGTGGGTTCTACTTCATTGCTTTCCCAGGTGCATTACCAGGGAGCTGGATGGAAAATGGAGCAGCCAGGACTCAAACCTGAAATACCGAATCTGGAATGCTGGCACAGCACACGGAAGATTAGCTGGCTATGCCACCGCGTTGGACCAACCCCCAAAGCTGCTTGCAACATGTGACATCTTTGATCTTACAGACACCGTGCCATCTGCCTCCATCCTTCCTCTATCTATGCGTCTCCAGTTCGTGTCCCGGCAGCTCCACTTCCCATCCAGCTCCCTGCCTGTGGCCTGGGAAAGCAGTGGAGGACGGCCCAAAGCCTTGGGACCCTGCACCCGTGTGGGAGACCTGGAAGGGGTTCCTGGCTCCTGGCTTCGGATCGGCGTAGCAGCGGCCGTTGCGCGCTCACTTGGGGAGTGAATCATCGGACGGAAGATCTTTCTCTCTGTCTCTCCTCCTCTCTGTATATCTGCCTTTCCATTAAAAATAAAATTAAATCTTTAAAAAAAAAAGCCAAATCAATGAATCTTAATAGCTATGAGGAGAAAAGTCCTTTTTCCTAGCCTTCCCGTAGGAAGGAAACCCTTCAGCGGAATGAATTCCCTTTGATTTTTTCAGTGTCTGCTCACTGTTTCATGGTCAGCCCACATCTTATTCCCTGTAGCACAACACAAATTTACTGTACTTCCTACTTCCAGAAGGTTTTTTTTTAAAGATTTATTTATTTTATTTAAAGTCAGATATACAGAGAGGAGGAGAGACAGAGAGGAAGATCTTCCGTCTGCTGGTTCACTCCCCAAATGACTGCAATGGCTGGAGCTGAGCCGATCTGAAGCCAGGAGCCAGGAACTTCTTCCAGGTCTCCCATGCAGGTGCAGAGTCCCAAGGCTTTGGGCCGTCCTCGACTGCTTTCCCAGGCCACAGGCAGGGAGCTGGAAGGGAAGCGGGGCTGCCGGGATTAGAACTCGTGCCCATGCAGCAAAAACGCTAGCCGCTAGGCTACCGTGCTGGGACCTTCTCACAGACAGCTCCCACCCTGGCCCGATCTGTACCTGACCCCAGGGGGTTTTGAAACTGTCTTGAATTGGTGAGTGGGAGTGGTTTTGAGGGGTTTTTTTCCCCCCTCTGGGATGAACACTGCTTAATTAGATGAGAAGAGAGATGTTGTTTAGGTCCTGGTGCCCAGAACCGGGACAGAAAGCCGGGGTGACCTCTTAAAGGCTGCGGCAGGAGGAGAGCAAGCACTTAGCCTCGAGGACTGGGGACGGGGTGCCCCCAGACTTCGGGGAGCCGCAAGCAGGTCTATTACAGGCCAAGTGGCATGCCCTGATTTGTAACCCGAGGAGTCACGGCACGTGTGTAACAGAAGGTGCAGAGATGTGGGGGTGTCTGGAAGCTGTGGGCCCCCCCCACCCCGGGGCTGGTGAGGGCTATAGGTCCCAGCCTTGGACTCAGCCCAGCCGGCCTGTGGTTTTGGCAGCTCGGGTTCGGGCGCATGATGGTGTCCCTGGGTGTCCGACAGGTTCCAGCTGGTCCAGGAGGCAGTGGGCGGGCCAGTGAGTAACTGAGCTGGAGCGGAGTCATGCCTGGGGTGCAATCGGAGGCTCCCACTGGGGGAGGGCAGGAAGAGGTTAGGACAGGAGTGCCTTCCAGGGCAGGGTAGAACCCCGCTGGGGCAGCCTCACTGGAGGAGAGGTTCCGCCTGGTCTGTCCCCAACCTGTGTCCAATGTATCCTGGTGGGTACCTTTCCCTGGCCTGGTCTGGGCTGTTTCCATTCATGCTTCTTGCGCTCACCTGCACGGACTGTGTCCTGACAGAGGAGTTGCCCAGGTTCCTCCATCAGAACCTCTCCCAGTGCCAGATCTCACGCATGACGGTGGGTCATGAGCCAGCCATGACCTAGTCCACCTCCTGTCCTGGCAGGAACAGTGGCCTTTCCTGACTGGCCTTCAACTCATTCTGGTTCTTACTGTTGGATGTTTCAGCCCAGCCAAAGCTCGCCCATACCCAGACACGGCTCACACATGGCTCAGTAGGGGCAGAGACCTAGCCTAGCCCATCCTACATCTACCCTGGTCCTCCAGAGCACCAGATAGCGCTGGGGTCTAGCCTGGCTTGGTGCATCCAGTCCCAGTCCGGACTTGTGCCAAGGGACACTGCAGTCATATCCAGACCAGAACGCAGCCCCCACTCCAGCCCCCACATCACACCTCGCACACTGTGGAGTCGGAATGGGGGCAGGCCAGACCGGGCAGGGCTACAATACCTGTGGGTCTCATGTGAACCAAGTTAGGAAAAAGCCAAGCTTGGTTGACTGTCCCTACTGGTGCAAGCATAAATCAGAGTGGGTGAGGGTTGGTTGGTTGGGCTTAGCCCCAGCATCAGATGGCAGAGGCTGGCACTGGGGGCTAATTTTGTCAAGTTAAGTTGCAGAACCAGCTGGAGAGTGCATGACCTGGACTGGGTCCAGAAGGGAAATATTGGGGACCTCCCTCTTGGGTTATCATTCTCATTGGTAAAAATCAGGACTGGGGCAGCGGTGGCTGGACTGAACGGCACCTGCCCGCATGTGTGAGGGCTGGATAGTGGGCCTGGTTGGGTTGAACTAGGCTTCAATGCCCATTGACACGTATGAGAGCTCAATGGGATGTGGGACAGACTGGACTAGACTGCTGTACATACTGGCAAGCACGGGAACCAGGGCAGGGCGCGGGCATGGTGGGGGTTTTTATGGGAAGTCGCCCCAACCAGGCTGCAGCTCCCACTGGTTTGCGTGAGGGCTGAGTGTGTGCTGGGCAGAATCAGGCTGGACTACAACACACCCATGGGTTCATGTGGAAGACAGGGCTGGAAACAGAACTGACCCAGCAATTGCAACCACCAGCAGATCGGGGTGGGGGACTGTGCCAGACCCTGTACTGGCATGCACACACAAGAATCAGGTCTGGGATCACTTCAGACAAAGTTTCTTTGGGGATATCCCCAATCAAACTGCCA